AGGCTAAACAACATGCTACTAAACAACCAATAAGTCAACAAAGAAATGAAAGGGAAAATACGAAAAAATACCTTGAGACAAATGAAAATGGAAACACAATGCTCCAAAATCTATGGGACACAGCAACAGCAGTTCTGAGAAGGAAATTTATAGTGATACAGACCTATCTCAAGTAACAAGGAAAATTTCGAATAAACTATCTAACATTATATCTAAAAGAAACAGAAAAATAAGAAGAAATCCCAGAGTTAGTAGAAAGAAGGAAATAATGATCAAAATGGAAATAAGTGAAATAGAGACTAAAAACAATAGAAAAGATCAATAAAACAAAGATCTGATTCATTGAAAAAGAAAAAAAATCAATAAAACTTTAGCCAGATTCATCAAAAAAAAAAAGAGAGAGAGAGATTGGAGATCAAATAAATAAAATCAGAAATAAAATAGAAGTACCAACCCACACCACATAAATACAAAGGATTATAAGACAATATTATGAAAATTTTTATGCCCCAAATTGTACAACTTAGAAGAAACAATCTTCTAAGACTTAGGAAGAAACTGAAAACCTGAGCAGTTCAATTACCACTAACAAAATTGAATCAGTAATCAAAAAATTTCCAATAAAGCAAAGTCCTGGACCATGACTTCACAGGTGACTTCTACCAAACATGTAAAGAAGAATTAATACTTATTCTCAAAATATTCCAAAAAAATTGAAGAGGAAGGAATGCTTTTAAATTCATTCTATGAAGCCAGCATTACCCTGTTACCAAAACCAAGCACTGATACCATACACACACACATGCGCCCACACACACACACAATTATAGACCAATATCCTTGATGGAAATAGATGCAAAATTTTCTTAAAAATATTAGCAAAATCAACAATTCATTAAAAGAATCATACACCATGATCAAGTGGCATTTATTATAGGGAAGCAAGGATGGTTCAATATCTACAAATTAATCAATTTGATACACCACTTTAACAAGAGGAAGAATAAAAATCATATAATCATCTCAATACAGACAGAAAAGACATTTGACAAAATTCACCATCCATTTATGATAAAAACTCTCAATAAAGTGGGTATAGAGGGAATATACCTCAACATAATAAAAGTCATGACACCCCACAGCTAACATCATACTCAATGGTAAAAAGCTGAAAGCTTTTTCTCTAAGTTCAGAACAAGACAAAAATTCCCACTCTCACTATATTTATTCAACATAGTTTTGGAATTCCTAGCCACAGCAACCAGACACAATAAATAAAAGGCATCTAAATTGTAAAGGAAGACATAAAACTGGTACTATTTGCAGATAACATAATGCTGTATATAGAAAATCCTAAAGACTCCATAAACAATTATAACTAATGAAAGAATTCAGTAAAAGTTGCAGGATACAAAATTACCATACAGAAATATGTTGTGTTACTATACACTTATAAAAAACTATCAGAAAGAAGAATTAATGAAATATTCTATTTACAATTGCATCGAAAAGAATAAAATACCTAACAATAAATTTAACCAAGGAAGTGAAAAATCTGTACTCTGAAAACTATAGACACGGTTGAAAGATATCAAAGATGACACGAGTAAATGGGAAGATATATCATGCTCATGGATTGGAAAAATTAATATTGTTAAAATGCCCACAGTAGCCAAAGCAATCTATGATGGCAGATTCAATTCAATTCCTATCAAAATACCAGTGGCATATTGCACAGAATTAAAACAAATCCCCCCAATTTTTGTGGAACCAAATGACTCTGAATAGCTGAAACAATTCTGAGAAAGAAAAACAAAGATGGAGGTATCACACGCTCTAATTTCAGACTATACTACAAAGCTATAGTAATCAAAACAGCATGGTATTAACACAAAAAAGAGACACATAGATCAATGGAACAGAATAGGGAGCTCAGAAATAAACACAAAATTATATGGCCAATTAATCTATGACAAAGGAGGCAAGAATATACAATGGGAAAAGTCTCTTCAATAAATGGTGTTGAGGAAACTGGACATCTACATGGAAAGAAAGAAAGGAAGAAGGAGAGAGAAAGAAAGAAAGAAAGAAAGAAAGAAAGAAAGAAAGAAAGAAAGAAAGAAAGAAAGAAAGAAAGAAAGAAAGAAAGAAAGAAAGAAAGAAAGAAAGAGAGAGAGAAAGCAAGCAAGCAAGCAAGCGAGCTGGACCACTTTCTTACACCATATACAAAATAAACTTGAAATGGATTAAAGACTTAACTGTAAGACTTGAAACCATAAAACTCCTAAAGAAAATATAGGCAGTAAACTCTTTGACATTGGTCTTAAAATATTTTTTTGGATCTGTCTTCTGGGGCAAGTACCACAAAAGAAAACTAAACAAACTAAACAAATTATGTCCAATTAAAAAGCTTTTGCACAACAAAGAAAACCACAAACGAAATGAAAGGGCAACCTACTGAATAGGAGAATATATTTGCAAATGACATATCCAATATGTAGGTAATATCCAAAATATATAAAGAACTCATACAACTCAACAGTAAATAAACAAACTAAATTAAAAAATAGGCAGAGGACCTGAATAAAAATTTCTCCAAATAAGACATACAGATGGCAAACAGACACATGAAAGGATGCTCAATGTCACTAATCATCCAGGAAATGCGAATCAAAACCATAATGAAATATCACCTCACACCTGTCAAAATGGCTACTATCAAACAGACAACAAATAACAAGTGTTGGCAAGGATGTGGAGAAAAGGGAATCTTCATGCACTGTGGGTGGGATTGTAAATTGGTGCAGCCACTATAGAAAACTGTATGGAGATTCTTCAAAAATTAATAATAGAACTATCATACAACCAGCAATTCCACTTTGGACATTTATCTGAAGAAAACAAAACAGTAATTCGAAAAAATATATATATATACATACATACATACATACATACATACATACTACATACTACATACATACATACATACACACACACACCTCTAAGTTCATTGCATCATTATTTACAATAGCCAAGATATGGACGCAACCTAGGTATTTATCTATAGGTGAATGGTTAAAAAAGAGATGGTATATATGTATGGTGGAATATTACTCAGCCATAAAAATAAATGGAATCTTGCCATTTGCGACAACATGGGTGGACTTAGAGAGTACTGTGCTAAGTGAAATAAGTCAGACAGAAAAAGATAATAATATTTCCATCATATAAAATTTCACTTACATGTGAATAGAAGAACAAAACAAACAAAGCAAAACAGAAACAGACACATAGATACAGAGAAAAAACTGATAGTTGCCAAAGGGGAGGGAAGTGGGGGTGGGTGAAAAAGTGAAGGGGACTAAGAGGTACAAAATTCCAATTATAAAATAAATAAGTCACAGGGACATAATGTACAGCATTGGCAATATAGTCAATAACATCATAATTAACTGCACAGGGACAAATTGTTATTAGACATCGTGGTGATCACTTCGTTGAGGTATTTAAATGTCGAATCACTATGCTTTATACCTGAAACTAATATAATATTGTAAGTCAATTATTCCTAAACTTAAAAAAATTGACATGAGACAGGTTAACAAGATAGAAAAAAAGAAGAAATAGAAGGGTTAAGCTAAGTATGCTCAGTTTCTGTTCTCAAACTCACGAACTCTCAGCAAGAGGAGTAAGGACAGGGAAGGAAGCCAGGAGTGACACTGTAGCTGAAGTTCCCCCACATGGACCCATGAAGAAAGGAGGATAAACACCCTTTTCATCTTTTCACCCTCCAGAAATCAACGAGGGCCCAGTGCTTACTCGAGTATCATTTTTGCAAATCCTGCTCTATGTCCTTCTAAAGTAAATCCTCACTTAATGTTGTCCATAAGTTCTATGACTTTTAGTGAAATGAAATATAAAGAAACTAATTTTACCACAGGCTAATTGATATAAACAAGAGTTAAGTTCCTACAACATCTCATTAACATTATAAAGAAATGACGGGTAAACAGCACGTTATTCGAGGACCTGCAGTGGATGTAATTGCTCTGTTCTGTAAATTCTCATGTTCTTAATTTGAACTTTTCTTCTTAGCATTTATTCGATCTTGTAAGTGTAATAATTTATCTATTTCACTGTGACCTTTCCTATTTCTTAGAATCTTCTTAAATATAGAAGCTATTTATTATTCGTGGTTTCATATTCCTCAATTATTAATATAGTAACTGAGAAATGGTAAGCCCTCAATGAATATTTATAGAATGAGAAAATGAGTAAATAAAATGATCATGAAAAAGAAAAGTGCATAATCTATACCAAATAAGCTCAAAGAGTGATCTAATAACTTAAAGCAGAGTAAACCAAACCAACCTCTCTAGTGGTTTTAAATATCTTAAATTACATAAGAAATTAGAATGAGGGGAATAAATGAATTAAAATGGGGAATTGGAATTCCTGTTGAAAGTTAATTCGAGATTCTTTCTTGACTATGTTTTATCAAACTCTTAGTTTAAGAATAAGTATTCCTCGTCACTTTTATCCTTAGTTACTATAAAAAAACACACTGGGAAAAAATTTTAAATCAAAAAGTAAATTTTGTGTTTCTTCCTTGACAAAATTGTTTAATACTATATGCCTTTTAAGTATTTTTAGGAATTTAAAATATTAGATAAAATTCTTCTTTTTGTGCTTAAGTCAAGGAAATATTCTGGTCCAAATGAAGGCTTAAAATTCCTTTTCTTTTTGTGTTATATAGTTATGTATACAGATGAGCAAAATAGGAAAGTAATACTCTCTGATCTCATCACCAGCAATAATCAGTGTTAATGTTTTGATACATAACCTTTTCATCTTTTTTTCTATGTGTACATGTCTATCTATATACAAATTTAGAAAAATTACAGCATATACTCTTTGCTTAATAAACTTTAAATTTTATAATAGTTTTAGATTTATAGAAAAGTTGTGAAGACAGCACAGAGAATTCCAATATGGCCAACACCTAGTTTCCCCTATTGATAAATAACTTCTATTAGATGTTACTAACATCACATCTAATGAACCAATATTGATGAATTGTTATTATTTATACCAATTTAATGCATTGCTATTAACTGAAGTCTATGCTTTATTCAGATTTCTTTAGTTTTCACCTAATATTCCTTGTCTGTTCCAGGCTCCCATCTAGAATGCCACATCATATTTAACCTTTATGTCTCTTTAGGCTCTACAGACTCTGTTTTTCAGACTTCTACTTTTTTTTTTTTTTTGACTTTGACAATTTTTAGGAGTACTGGTCAGGTATTTTGTAGAATATCCCTCGGTTAGCATTTGTCTGATGTTTTTCTCATAATAATGTGGTTGTAACTTTTGGTGAGAGAACCACAGAAGTGCCATTCTCTTCACATCATATCAAGGGTACATACTATCAACATGACTCATCGCTGTTGAGGTTGACCTTGGTCATCTGGCTTAGGTCATATTTGTCCATTTTCTCTACAGTGAAATTACTCTTTTTCTGTCTTTCTTTCCACACTGTGTTCTTTGGAAGAAAGTCACTAATCAGAGACCACACTGACGAGGTAAGGAATTATGTTCTACTCTTCGAAGGTGGGGAATACTGACAGATATTATTTGGAATTCTTCTGCAGAGATAATTTGTCTCTTCTCTCTCATTTACTTATTTATTTAACCATTTATTTATACCAGTGTGGACTCATGGATATTTATTTACTACTTTGGATTTTAATCCAATACTATGTTATTTATTTTGTTGCTCAAATTGTTTCAACTTTGACCACTGAGAACACTGCCATTGGCTGCTGTGTCCCCCATTGTTGTGCCCCCATTGTTGTTGGTTTTTTGAGTATTTCCTTACTTTCTGGCACGATAAGATGTCCAGAATCATTTTGTATTATCCATGTTCTGGACTTAGAATCAACTATTTCTCCAAGGATCCTGGTTCCTTTTATTGGACAATGATATTAAAAACAAGATTTGGGAGCTGGATATGCTCATTGCTACATGGAGGTCATTGCTTTTAGGACTTCTCAGCTGGAAATGTATATGTGTTTATCAATTGGTGTGTACACAAATATCTATATTTATTCCTATAGATATACCTGTATCTATATTAAACTAAACATGAGTTCACACTGATGTGTCCAATTCTAAACCAGTACCACAAAAATCCCTTGTTTGTCTGTGAACTCCCAATCTGAGAAACCTAGTTTCCATCATCCGCCATCCATTTACTTAATTGTTCAATTCTAGTATGTGTATACAGTGATTTCAGAAATGTTAATCCCTACCCTGATGGAAAAAAACTTTACCAACTAGAGTGCAGTGCTTATGTCTAATTCTTTTTGTCTTTCATTTTAATATCCACTCATTTCCAAAGTTATATAAGTCAGCACTTTTAGCCCTACCCACTTCAGTCATTTCATACATTGTAATATAGAGAGATTCTTTTTATCATAGTCTGCATTCCATCTCAGAATCCCCTGATATACTAAATAATATTTTTAAATTTGCATAAATTAAGGTTCACTCTTCGTGCTGTAAATTTCTGTAGATATTGGCAAATGCATAGTGTCATGATCCACCACTGCAGTATCACACAGAATAGTTTCACTGCCCTAAAACACTCCCTGCACTTTACCCATTCAACCAAACCCCTTCTCTAAAACCCTGGAAACCACTGATTTATTTGATGTCTCTATAGTTTTATTATTTCCAAAACATCATATAAGTGGAGTCACACGGTATGCAAACTTTTCAGACTGGTTTATTTCATTTATCAACATGTATTTAAGATTTATCTATGGTTTTGCATGACTTAATAGATCATTTTTATTAAATAGTATTCCATTGTATGGATGTACTACAGTTTATTTATCCATCACATATTGAAAAAACTCCCTGTTATTGAAAGATATATTGATTGCTTTCAGTTTTTGACAGTTACAAATAAAACTGCTGTAAATATTTGCATGTGGTTTTGTGTGGACAAATATTTGTAAATCAATTGAGTAAATATCTAGGAGTCTGATGGTTGGATCATATGGTAAGAGTATGTTTAGCTTTGTAAGAAATTGCTGAGCTATCCTCCGAAGTAGCTGTACCATTTTTCATTCTCAACAGGAACAAATGAGAATTCTTGTTGCTCAATATCCTTGCCAGCAATTACTATATCAGGTTTTTGAATTTTAGCTATTCTAATATGTATGCAGTGGCATCTTTTGTTATTTTAATTTGAATGTCCATAATGATGAATGATACTGAGCATATTTTATATGATTATTTCCATCTATATATCTGTTTTATGACATATCTATTCACCTTTTATTTTTAAAATTATTTTTTTAAATATTATTGTGGTAAGAATACTTAACATAAAATAAACTCTCAACAAATTTTAAGTGTACTATACATTATGGTTCTAGATATCTAGAACTTATTCATCTTGCCTGACTGAAACATTATGCCCATTGATTAGTAACTTTCCATTTCCCCTCCGATGAGCCCCTGGAAATCATCATTTCACTTTTTGATTCTATGAATTTGACTATTTTAGATACCTCATATAATTGGAATCATGCAATATTTGTCTTTCTATTATTGGCTTATTTCACTTAGCACAATGTCCTCAAGGTTCATCCATGTTGCATATTGCAGAATTCCTTCTGTTTTAAGGCTGAATGGTATTCCATTGTATATGTATACAACATTTTCTTTATCCATTCATCTGTCAGTAAACATTTAGTGTATACAACATTTTCTTTATCCGTTCGTCTGTCAGTAAACATTTAGGTTGTTTCTACATCTTGGCTGTACTTGGAAATACTGTTGCAATGATAGTGGTAGTGCTAATATATCTTAGAGCTCCTTATTTCAGTTCTTTAACACATATACCCAGAAGTTGGATCGTTGGGTCATATGTAGTTCTATTTTTAATTTTTGAAGGGACCTCAGTACTGCTTTTCATAGCAGCTACACCATTTTACATTCCCACCAACAGTGTGAAAGGGTTTCAATGTCTCCACACTCTCTCCAATACCTGTTGTCTTTAATTGGGTTGTTTGTTTCCTTCTTGTTGAGTTTGTGAGTTGTTTTTCATATATTTTGGACATAAGTCCTTTACTCAATATATGATTTGCAAATATTTTATCTTGTTACCATCTTAACAGTGTCTTTTGCAGCATATGTTCCTTTAACCTGCTTTCTTCTCACTCAACGATATATCATTAACATCTTTCCATATTATTCTTTCATAACATCTCTTTTTAATGATTGTAAGGTATTTCATTATATGAATGTATCATACAACAATCTATTATTGTTGGACAAAATGGTTTCCAGTCTTTCATTCCTACAAAAAAAGAGAAAATAGTGATGGATATCCTTGTAAATAAATATTCTCCCAATATTTACTCAGAATGAACTTCTTTAGGTTAAACTTTTGTATCACAGAGTATTAACATTTTAAAACCTTTTGCTGGGACAAATTCTTTTTTTTCTTGATCTTCTATGCTTACAAAGCATTTCATTCCCTCTTTAGGTCAGGGCCAGAGGTAGAAGACAAGTGCATTTTGAGGTATCGTGCGCTTTGATAATTAGTATGTCAAATACACATAGATCCAAGACACCAGAAGTATTCGGCCTCAGGTGAGAGCTTCATCCTAGCCTTTCCAAGGGTGACACCCTCTCATTTATTTCAGTTTACATTCTAAACCTTAGTTGAGGCCTCATGTCCTCTAGGACACCTGCCTACTAATCCTCTCATCTTAGTGTTGGCTCTAAGTGAAGGCATTTAATGAAGCAATCTGGGTGACGTATATTTAGTTACTTAGACTGTACAGTTATTGGAGATCCCTGGGGGACTGGTAGTGACCCCTTCATCCCAACATTGTTTTTCTGCCTTTCTCAAGCTGGGTTAATGTTCCTCTGCTACATTCCCCTGGTATTCCATTTTAACACATACTTTTTAATGTTTCTACCCTCTCTATGAGATTCTGAATGTCATAAGCCAAACTACCTAGAAATCTTCTTTTTGTATTTTAAAAATACAGTAAGTAGAAACAAATGTTTTTGACAATTCTATAACATTCCCTGAGAACTGTTGCAAAGAAGTCTTGAGCATCCTCCTCTTTAAGTGAGAGAATCACAGAGCTTTCTGCTTTGTTTTTACACATCCAATGTGTTGTATACACTTTTACTTTGTGGCAGCATGGACCCAGACTTTGAGTAGCAGAGAGAGGAAGCTGGAGCAGGAACTGGGCTTGTTGGCCTAGCTCTTATTTTAGCTTTTTAGGTTTGCTTTTGTCCTGCCAGACACTGCTGCTAACCTTTGGCCTACAGTAGTTTTGACAAATATGGAGGCTATTAGTCAAAGGAACCTTGTCTCCCTAAGAATGTGTTGCGACACATTCAACTCAGAGCCATGTCAGTTGAAACGGATCTTGTGCTTTAGCAAGTACCTTGGATCTTTGGGAGAATAAACTAATGGCTTTATAGGCCTTTTATGGAAGGCTGCTGCTGTGCTGCGTGCTCTTGGCGCTTGGGAAGGCATAGCGGTGCTGGGTGCCAAGAATATAATCAGCCAGAACAATATGTTCAGCATTTAGGGAATACAGCTGGATCCAGCAAATGTATAAGACAGAACTGACTGTGAGGCCAAATAAATTTTCTCTGCAAATTTTACTCTCTAAAGTAATGCTGAACTGGAGGTCCTAACACCTCACTCCAGCCCCACATGATTTTGGATATATGCTAGTTGGGGCATTTAGATTGACTTCAATTGTGTTTCTCTTGTGTCTTTCACTAGATGACAGACTTTTAAAAGCAGAGGCTCGTGTCTGAACTGTTCTGTAAATCCTGCCATTCCACGTGTAATGCCATGAACTCAAATAAATTGCTGGTAAGATAGAGTAAATGCTAGACCAGACAAGCAGGTGTTATCAACTTGGGGATTAAAACTGACCTAACCTTTGGATTCGGAGCCCTCTCTTCCCTTCCTCCACCTTTACTCACTTTTTTCTCTAAGCATGCGGCCACAGGAACATGCATCTAAGGCTTGGATTTAGTACTTTTATCCAAGACTTTTCTGGGGGCATCATTTGACTATAAGTGGTAAGACTACATAAAAGTTATTTATAATTTTTAAATTTGGATGAAAGGACATTTTCTAGGCTATGTATCATTGTAATTCTTAAAAGTGGTCACTTAAGAACATGTTTTCATCTTTTTCCCTCATGTGTCCTATCTGAGACCTTCAGAGTTCCTATACCGAGAGAATGTGGAAAAGGTAGGGCAGAAAGTGAACAGGGCACGCCAGCAAAGGCACTGCTCCCATTTCCCTCTCCATCTTTCAGCTCCTGTTACTAGGGAGAGAGGAGAGAAATTAATCAAAAGTAGAATTAATTTACACTGTAAAGCACCTGTTCCTTCTCAGGCATTTTACATATCTCATCTTAATTCCATGGCAATTTAGCAAAGTGGATATTACAATTCTCGTTTTACAGACTGGAAAAAACAAAGGACTAAGTGAGTATGTAACTTGTTCAAAGTCACAGAGCTATGG